ACTGGCTTGGGAAGGTAAGGGTGTGGGTTGGCCATGGATCGAACCCCGGACCATGTGCATGGTCGGCGAGAGTCCTAACCACTGTGCCACCGACGCACACATATTACTATGTGTTTAATCTAATAAAGTATGTCATTTTGATCGGTCACTAGTAACTAGTGTGACGTGTCTAGTCCTTTCTTCAGTGAAGGCTGAATTCTGTCAATCAGGTTTGCATTGTGGCCATCATTTTAGGTAGCTCACCATCATGGTTCACATTGATTTCATGATGTTAGATAGTTGGAGGCAATCGGCAGGAAGCCTCGCCTCACCTATGTTTCATGCTGGTTGGCACTCAACAGTTAGGAAGGCGTATCTGCAACCTCCAAGGAACTCATGTCCCTTCTGAGATTTGAACACAAGTCACCCAGTGCCGCCTGCAGTCAGAGACGTTACCACTGAGCTATTCGGACTCGGGATTGACCTCCTGTAGGACTGTAGAGGATACTTTGATTGGCTTCCTTTCGATTGCCTCCAACCATCATCAAATCAATGTAGACTGTGATGGTGAGCTACCTAGAATGATGGCCACATTGCAAACAATTAAAATGACAGAATTCAGTCTGTACCGAAGAAAGGACTAGATAGACTCATAACACTAGTCAGAGTATCCAACAGAGTTCCACATGAGGTCAACCGCGAGTCCGGATGGCTCAATGCTAACGTCTGAGACTTCGACACTGGATGACGCCGGTTCGAATCTCACAGGGAACATGAGTTCCTTCAAGTTGGTTGCAGATACGCCTTGCTGACTCACTGGTCAATGCCAGCTAGCACGAAACCTAGGTCAGCCAAGGATTCCTGCCGATTGCATCCAACCATCTAATACTTTTCAGTTCATTTTATTTAGGAGCATTGTGTGTCTGTCTGCCTGTCTGTATATGTGTGTGTCTGTGCGTGTGTCAAATCATGTGTTTCTCTTCATGCTAATTTTACTACTGAATAACCCTTGGAATATTACTTTCTCTTAGGATTTCATAGTATATCAAGAGGTAAACAGTGATGTGAACACCATCTTTAAGGAGTCATACACACTGAATTAAATTAACAATGTTCTGAAATGTGTTTCACCCTGCTTGTTTGTCTGTTTGTTTGTCTTTTCATCGGAAAATATTCTAAAACTTCATTCTGTTTGTCATTTAATATTTAAAACTGTGTGTGTGTGTGTGCGTGTGCACGTGTGTGATTCATCCACTGATATTGGGTGGTTTGTTCATTCACCACAATTCTAAGGATATTTGGAAGAGATATTCATCGGTTTCAAAAGTGTTCACGCTCCACATAAGAATGTTGGACAAGGTATATTCGAGAAATGAAAAGAGCAGATTAAGCCAAAGCATTAAAAGTCTTCATGAATAGTTAAATGAATGGAAAAAAGAGAAAAAAATCCACAGGTTTTGTTCAGTAATATTCAGATGGTATTTAGTCTCTGTCTATGCATGAATCATATAGGAGTTTGCAAAATGTTTTATGCAGGATTTTATGCAAAGTAAATAGTAGCAATTAGCTTGTGAAGACGAGACGTCAGCTGAAATAACTTATTGTCAACTTATCGTATTTTTTAAAGATGTGTTTCAAAACACTTTTGAATTCGAGGTTAGAGATCATGATGAAATAACATTAGCTAGATTTAACTATTGCAGAACGAGGCGTACTAAGAGCACAGCTTTTCCCTTCTGGTTTGGGCCGTTTAGCAGTGCACGGAAATCGCCTATCTGAGATAGTCTAACTCACGACTTTCAGGTTTCGAGTCGATCCGGTTGACTATTTTCACTGCTATGACAGAATTCAACAGTCCATGAATTCTAACGTCTGCCAATTTGGTGATACATATTTTTCTATCGCATCCAGTATCATTACATTATCATTCTTCCCTTGGGTTCTGAGTGCAACCTAGGGCTTCAGCAGCAAATCTGTCTGTTCTCGACAGAGAATTTTGCACTGATGCGCAGCAGTTCAAGTTGCCACACTCTAAGCAGTAAATCTCCATCTCACCCTACTGTCTTGTTTGACCGGTTGCACATGACTGCCCACCAACTTTCGTTTCTTATTCACCTGATAACTCTATGGTCGGCCTGTAAAATTCGGGCTACCGATATCACATGCTGAAAATTCCATACTTGTACGAAAAATACGGTGTGGAATCAAGCTGTAATTTAAAAAAAATTTTAAAAAACATGCAGAAGATGAATGTATGTGGTGAAAAGAACCAACTAACCAACCAACCAACCAAGCAACAACAACAACGACAAACAGCACTAATCACTATCAACGGGAGGAATCTGTAAGAATTCAGACCTTTTACCTACCTACAGAGAATCGTTTCGAACTACAGGTTTGAAAAGTCAAAGCAAACATTTATCTACCAGCTCGCCTTGTAACCAGAAGGTCCTGGGTTCGAATCCCGGTGGGTGCGTACTGCTGAAGAGTCCCAAACTAGGACGAAACAGTTGTCCAGTACTCCCAGGTTTTCCAGTGGTTCTCTAATTGATGTCAGCTCATGATTAAATCCTCCATGCAATTCTCAAATGAGTTTGAAGTATTCTCCTGGACTCAGTATGAACAACAGGAAATAAATTTTCAACGGTAGTGTTAAGTGAGTCAATGCTTCTTTGTGGGTCAGAGACAATGATGAGTGCATCTCAAAAAGCCGACTTTCACCAACAGCTGCCTTTGCTGGCTCTATATTGAAGATTAGATGGTTGGCCAGAAGGGATTAGTAACTTGGAATTCTGGAAATGTAACAACCAACAAACTTTGGCCTAGCAAATTTCCCGAAGAAAATTCCGATGAAATGCACGCACACACACACACTTAGGAGACTATCCATTGATGTCGCATGCCAGGACATCGTTTGAGTGGCACCTGAATGCGAAACGAGGGTGCGAGGGTGACACAGAGGAGATCATGTGAGAACGAGAATTTGAAAGCGAATTGGCAGTAGTGGGTCCAGCTGATGAAGGCTATACATACCAGAACAAACTGAAGGTGAGCTTTTGAAGCCCTAGTTTCTTGTAGTACTGTAGTTAGGGTTCTCTCTTCACACTCCACAAATCCTTCAACGTTCCCAAGACTGAAGCCAGTTAGTCAATTACTTTATATCCACTGGTGTGTGGTTTTTCGTCCAGATCCTATCAAAATAATAGTGTGACATTGAACTCACTAATCATAAGCAGTTTTTGGAACACCAAATATATGAGTAAATCGCTAGCACTTATATTGTTTACAAACTCTGAAGTCTGAACACATTTCACCATAACTTGTAGACAGCGCTATCATTCTGTACTTTATTATGGTGAGTGAACTGACACCTAGCACAATCAGCCATGAAATTAACTTTGTTTTAAAAAAAAACTTGGTGTATAAGTGTATTAAAGTTAATTGGTTGGGAATTTTTTCTAACTCTAACCACATATAATAATGATACCATGTGTTAACTTTTACGAATATGTGGGTGTCTATTTGAAAAACCATTTTTCAGGCAATTTTTATTCATTTTACGTCCCCAGTGGAATATAGGACTCCAAGCTTGAGATTTGTAATGTCGGTAGTCTTAGTGTTCGTTTATACGGGGTGGGGTTGCTAACCTCATGCCCAACCTTCCATCTTAACCAGTCTTATTACTGGCTTGGGAAGGTAAGGGTGTGGGTTGGCCATGGATCGAACCCCACACCACACGTGGGGTCGACAAGAATTCTACCATTGTGCCACAGACGTGATCCTAAGAAACTCCTCTTTTCTTTTCGACGATTCATTCTCATGAGCTGTACAATCGTAATTATATTTAACAAAGAATCATTATGACAAATCAGATTCTGGTAAAGTTTGTCTTCCAAAAACGTATTGCGTAATGTAAGATGTAGTCTAGATGGGGTCACTAATCGGAAATTATAAAAGGGGCTGAAGTTGGGATAACGTCATAAATCTGAGATAATGACTAGTCAGTGTAATTGTGTAGAGTGGACAAGAACTAGTGGAAAGACTATAGTGTTTTTATAAAATCTGTATGAGAGTGCAATTTTACTAATAAACAGTAGTAGTGATAATAAAATAAGGATGATAAAAATAATAATAATAATAGTGAACTTACATAATAAAGTGAATCAAAATTATAGTGAGAACGTTACTCTGGCTACAGTAGGGCGAGTGAATGTATGTACTACTTTTGAATGCAGATGTCCGGTTTCAGATTCCGAATAACCAATAATTCAGCCATGTATAGATGGCGTATTTGAAGTCCTCTTGTATGACATTGAGGGACTCCGTGTAGCACTGGAAAGCATTCATACAAGTAAGGGTGCTTGATTTCTAGAGTTGACAAGATGCTCGAGTATGGAACTGCTGGTATTCTTCCTTTCTGCTCTGGCTAGCCAAGCTGGACGATTTTCCAGAACACTTTTGGGAACTTGGTATTGCATACGCCAACATATTTTGCTCCACACTGATAAATACACACTGAGGTAGTCAAAGGCGGTATATTGTCCTTGACTTTAGATTGGCTTAACTGTCTGCCAGAGAATACGATTCGTAAAGTAGCCACTTGGCATGTCTTCTTCAGACATCTAGAAAGGTAAAGGACAAGTAGTTCAGCGAAGAGTCTCTTTTTGGCGAAAGGTGGTCACTTCAAAACTACTGATCACCCGACTTCTACTATTCTCACACTGAGGAATAAGTAAAAAGCAGCTAAATATGTACTTGCTTCACATAAACAAATTCTGACTGTATACTATGTACCAACAGAAATCCAATGACATGACCCATAAATTAGATTAGGGACGAAAGACCGGTATGCAAACCATGTAGGGGAAACATTGACTCATAATGTGTCTGTTTCTTCCTGGTCTCTATATTCTATATTGATCACAGCTCCATAGAAAGAGAAATATATATATTCACCCGAGTAACGAAGTGTACCATTTTATTTTCCCTTACACATATTAACTTGTCATCTTCGGTTACAGTTTTAGAGATGACATTATCTCAACGAACTAGACTCCTAGTGATATTTGGAGGCTTATTTATCTTCACAACAGTATTGTTAGCAGCAGTGCTGATTATCATGTGGTGGGTATAACTCTTCAGTAATGATAATAATGCATGCTTAATTCACATGTAAAATATATTACTTTTCACTCCAATACTACGAAGTTAGAGTGATGCATGCAAATGTTGTCGTTGTCCGTAATATTTTAACGTTTATTTTATACTACTACGTTCTTCTTCAGTAGTATAATTTTGTGTAAAATATTTTGTGTTGTTTCGCACTTATTATTCGACAAACCCTAATGGTTTCGTACTAATAAGGCACTATGTATGTATGAATCAAGCTGCTTAGTGTAGAGTAATTGTAACTTCTCAGTGGAGGAGATTACTTCCAGTCCTTTGTTAAGACATTGCACTTGGGCATGAAACACACGGTTTCTGATGCTTAACTCCATTTCAGTCTCCCCATAAGCTCTCATCTCAACATGTCGCTTCCCATTTTGGTTCCGTTTTAAGGCCTAGTACACCAAACAGTCACTTTGTCATGTTTCCTTTCCTGTCCACTTCCAGTTTTTGGGTATATTTATTAGATGAAAGATTCTTGGTTAGCTTATTGCTAGAGTTCCCTGTTGATCATCCTTTGTGGTCGACCATCTTATCTTCAGTATGCAGCCATCGAAGGTAGCTGTTGAAAAAAGTCTTCAGCAGGAACCTAGAAATGCTTTACGTGACGCAAGTGCCAAGTCTCTGAAGAATATAGAAGAACTGACTACTTTGACACGAATATTTAAAATCCATGTCTTGTACCTCATATCATCATTTAAGATTAATAAAGGCCTGTCTTGCTTCGTCAATCCTGCTGTTGACATTCCCTTTAGTTGGAACGATGCTCTGTGGATAAGTAAAAGAGGTACCTTTCTGTAAAGTTCTCGCAATAATAATTATTGGTACTTGTTGTTGCTTGGCTGGTTATCTTTGTCACCTTCGTCTTCTCTGTGTCCACTGAAAGTCCTGTCTTCGCTACCTGCCTATTCAGCCAACTTGTTGTTTTTCGCCTGTAGGTCTTCGAATTTTTGCAACACATCTTCATCCAAGGCAAATTCACTTCATGTATGTGAAAATATCCACTGACATTCCCCATTCTTATCACCACATTCAAGAACGTTTGATGTCCAAACACTAGGAAGTCCTGATGTTAACAAATTCAAGATTAGATTTAGTCAGATAGTCAACACATGACTAACTGGGCATCCTTAATTAAAGGGATTATTAAGCACCGGTGATAAAACAGGGAGGAATATCCAGGACTAGGCAGCATTCCCTCATCTAATAACTCAATCCTTATACTCTCAACCAGTTCATTACAGGTTTGGAAGAGACTGAATTTGCATGTTAATACATCTCAATATGTAACAATATCAGTTTCTCTTAGTAATCGATTCTAGAAGGCAAATAATCATAGATTGACAAAGGCAAGTAGAAAAGACTGTGTCGTTCAACTCTTTCATTAATGAGTTCATCTTGATGGAGATCCATTAGCCACTTAATTTCTCAAATAAGTTCTCACTTGTTGTTACAGATAAGAAGAATTAAGAATTGCAACTTAGTGTGCTGAAAAAAAGTGACTCAGCGTCTAAATCGAACTCCTATATCCTCTGTAAGGATATCTCTTGATATATCGGTAAATTTTGACAATTTACAATTGGAATAAAGGCTTTAATGTGACCAACTCAAGAAGGTGTTTGATTTACACTTAATTCTCAGGTGATATCTGGCCGGCCAGCGCACACAGCTTTCATAGGGAAAACAGAGGTGATGAAGATTCCTGGTAAACACCAACAGCAACAACAACAACAATCAGCATGAATGGCAGGAACCTGAAAGAAACAACCTCCTTTACCTAACTGGGAAGCATTGTTTCAACTACAGGCGGATGGAACTGACGAGGATATCAAAGCCAGAATCTGAAAAGCAAGACAAGCTTTCATCACTCTCAAGTCTGTGTAGAGGTCAACAGCCCCACTCAGCATCAAAAATAAGATCCGGATTTTCAACTCCAATGTGAAGTCAGTCAGTTCTACTTATTATACGGATTAGGGGCTTGCACTGCGTGTCATAAAGAGCATCTCAAACAAACTACAGACCTTCATCAACAGTTTTCTTCGCTCAATACTCAAGATCAGATGGCCGGCCAGAAAAGATCAGCAACAGAGATCTTTGGGAGCGAACCAACCAGGAACCGATTGTGAAACAAATAAGCAGGAAGAAATGGAGATGGATTGGAATGGCCATACTCTGAGGAAACCATCAAGTGACATCACTAGACAAGCCATCGCTCGAGTGGAACCCGAAAGGGAAACGGCGAGTTGGTCGTCAGTGTGAAGGTGACTTGGAGGAGGTGATGTGAAGAGGAGATGAAAACATGTGAGCAGACTTGGAGCCAGGTGAAAACTTTAGCAGAGAACCGAACCCAATGGAGACGTGCGTCTGAAGCCCTACATTTCTCTAGAAATTAAAGGAAATAATAATAATCTGGAATGAGAGTAAATTCTCTCTCCTATAAAAACGGAAACTAAAGAAGTCGTCACGGTATATAAACGGCCAGACATATCTTAGTCGCAACTATTGGTTCCGCCCACACAGATAATTCACTTCGAACTGACCACTGATTTTCATCTCTTTAGGCACTGATTAACTCTTATTGACTGTCGTAGTTTGATATATATATGTGTTCTGACTGTCATGGATACTGCCGTGTACAAGGAAATTACCTACAACTTTTGTGTATTCCACTGATTATCTCATTCCATCACTATAACTGGTGATTTTAAACATCTCACTCACTATCTAAAAGGGGGATATTTGATTTTATAGTGTCGTTGACTGTCTTCCCAAAATGTAAACAATATAAGCATTTAAACATTTCTACTCAAATGGTTTAATCATGTTTGATGTGTTTTCGTTGTGTTTTGAAGTGTTGTGTTAGTGTGTGTGAGTGTGGGTCAACGTTGGTGTCGTCCTCAACCGTATCATTGTTGTTGTCTCCTTTCTGTTTACCTTTATTGTTTTTATTTTATCTTCCTTCCTATTCTACACTGAATTAGCATTTGCTGAATCCCGTGAAAATGATTTACAAACTATGCTGCATGAATTAGCTACAACCTTGACACTGCGTGGTATCTTTTTTACCCTATTCGGTGCATCTATCAGTGTATTGACATTCTATGGTATATGGAAATGTCAACAACGAAGTATGCAGTATGTTGTCCAGTTTTTTTTTAAATAATTTTTGTATTGTATTGTATTGTATTGCTTTTGCAGTCGATTTATGTGTTGTGAAAAGTTATACTATGTAGTCTGATTGCTTTTTATTTGTTTTTGTTTTTGAATGTTATGGTGCGTTTTGTGCAGTGACTTTGCTTATGCTTTATACTATTATTGTTATTACTATTGTTCCCTCAGGTTACCAGTAGAACGTAGAGCTTCAGAAGCCTATTTGTATTCCAATCTCTCCTATGAACTCCTTTTTAACTGGTCGCATTATCTTCCACAGGCCTTCATTTCGTCCTTCTTCCTCACATTATTGTCCCCATGTCACCCTCGGACGTCCAACTCGTCGTTTTATTAGTTAGCTTCTACTCATGCAATGACCTAGCATGTGATGTCCTTCGACGGTCTCCCATCCATCGTCATTTCCTTCGGTTTATTTCTTGAATAATAGGTTCTTGGTTGGCTCTACTGCTAAAGAAACTCCAAAGCTCTAGTTTGAACCCCTATCATCTACATGGGACGTAAAGGAATAAAGTAATAAAAATAAAAAAATTACGAGTAGTAATAAAAGTCATATTTAGGCTTATCAGTATGTGTAAAAAGGATTAAGAAATATCCTAGAATTATGAATGAATGATACAAATTGAATAGACTTTTAAAATCAACAATATACTTGTGTATTTATTATCATTATCGTTGCTCCCTTGGGTTCCGAGTGGAACGTCGGGCTTCAACAGCACAACTCCACTTCGTCCTGTTCCCTGTGGTCCTCTACAAATGGCCTCATGAATCTCCAAAGGCTGTCACCTCCTCCACACACACACACAACCACACCCATGTCACCCTTGGATGCCCAGCTGGTTTCCTGTTTGGGTTCTGTTCGAGAGCACGATGTCACTCAGTGATATCTTCGGCGTAGGTTCTTGGTTGGTTGGTTGGTTCGTTCCCAGAGTTTCTTGTTGGTAATCCTTTCCGGTTGTCCATATGATCTTCATTATAGAGCCAGAGAAGACAGGTTTTGATGAAAGTCTGTAGGGGCCTGTTAGAAATGCTATTCAATGACGCATTTAACATTGGTGTTGAAAATTCGAATTTTGTATTTTATGTACATGGTAGAAGATTTCCACATAGGCTTCATAATGATGAATGTCTGCCTTGCCTTTCTAATCTTGGCAACTGGTTTTGATATCTTCATGTATGTTGACTGCCTGTAGGACTAGAAGGATTCAGCCTAGATTAGTGAAAGAGGTTGCCTCGTTCAGATTTCTTCACTTCATTGTGTTTCGTTGTTCGTTGGTTGGTTGACTATCTTCACCACCTTTGTCTCCTCTATGTTCACTTCAATCGCTATCTTCTGTGATTCCTCTGTAGATGTGCTAATTTTCATCTGTAGGTCTTAGAGTTTATATGACATTCGACAAAAGTTGTCAGCGAAGTCCACATCTTCCAGAGTCTTCTTGTCAACCTAACCTATTCCTGTTTTCTCACTGCCTACAGCCTGTTGCATGATCCAGTCCACCACAATGAAGAACTGCATTGTCAGCGATGACAGAAAGACTTCTTTTACTCCTGTCTTCACTTCAAAGTTTTCTCTGACTTTTCCGTTATGTACCACATGATAAAAGTGTCCATTAATAGATAATGTTGACGAACAATTGGTGTCTAAAGGTATGACGTCCTACTTATTGAATAACTGTTATATATTCGCTTCTCCGAATTTGATACTTTATAGGCCTAGGTGTATTCTAGTATCTTAAATCATTAGTGAGGAGACTGTGGAGAACTCGACGTGGTCTTCACCTTCAGCAGTGACCGGTAGAGTCGTCAAAGAATTTATTTCAGACTGAAAACCTGCTCAAATGGCAGACAAAAACAAACACTATACACAGGCTATAGAAATACATCTGTTGATTTACACGCAGACATTAGTAAAACTGTTTGTATATATATCAGTTTCAAAGTTTGCAAAATATCAATAATTTTGATGTTAATTTTGTTTTTCAGGAAAAAATATTTCAAAAGAAGGAATAAATCTTCAAATAAAGGAACTGCTCAAACGGTAAGTGTTCATATGTATATATATCATCGACTGGACTATACTCAGTAACTAGTGTAATGTGCCTGGTCCTATTTTCAGTGAAGACTGAATTCTGTCAGTGAAGGTTGCACCGTGATAGCGAGCCACCTAGTGGCATGGTGGCCACAGTGCAAACCTGACTGATAGAATTCAGTCTGCACTGGATATAGGACTAGACATGCACATCACACCAGTTACTGACTGGTGTCCAATCAAAAGTATTCAATACAGTCCTACATGAGGTCAGTTCCGAACCCGAATAGCTCAGTGGTAATGACTGTGACTGATTACAGCACAGGGTGACGCGGGTTCGAATCTCAGAAGGGAAACGAATTCCTTCAAACTGGTTGCAGATAAGCCTTGCTGACTGTTGAGTTCCAACCTAGGTCAGGTAGGACTTCCTGTGGCTGATCGCCTCCAACCATTTAATACTAACAGTATGTATCTTTTAATTAAATTTGAGATTTTCCCGTCGATTGATTGAACCGAAGTGCTCGATCTCAGGTTGACATGTCGACTTCTTGTGCAGATGCTTCGACGATGTCTGAGCATGTAATTAGAAGTTATTTGGTGGATGGTGATTAGCAGTGGAATGCGTTTATCCTGGATTCCACTGCTAGTCACCATCCATCAGTTAAATATACATCTTTGTTTATCTGCTTATCTTTTACATGAGAACGTCAGCACAGGTAGATTTTTTTAGCTAACAGACACCAGTCAAAACTGTTTCTGTATAATTTGAACTTTCCACCAGTGTGTATACATTCCCTACTTGATCGAAGAATCCACTCAGGGCCATCAGTTTCGTAATCACCCACTAGATTTGAAGTCTTAGTTTCTCTTAGTTTTCAAATGTAGTTTTACATTATAGTGCCAATCTTATTGAATGTGATGAATTACAGAGGCAATATACACGCCAGTTGCAGCCTGAATGGAAAACAACAAGTCTAAGGAGGATATGGAGCAAAGCCGACAGTGAACAGGATGAAACAGAGATTTGTTGTTGAAGTCCTGTGTTCCATTCAGAACTAAAGGGGAATAAAAATAATAGTAATAGTACACTGGATTTGATATCGGGTAACAAGGAAGAATTTAGAAATTATGAAATATTGCGTTGTGGTATTTTTGTCTCCCTAGCCATATCATCCATGACTACTGATGAAAAGAGTTACAGACTAGAGAGAGAGAGACAAATATCCAGTGATCCTCCACTTTCACTAATTCTTCAGCTGATATAAGGTAAAAAATCAAATCCACGTATATCTTATTATAGCTTATTCAAGCAAACAAACACAGCCTTCTGATTGGTTGTTTCTCACACGAAGTTGACCTTGCATCTCTTTGTGATTGTTTCTAGAATGTCTGGTCATCTATATGTTAACTGTATCTGCCTACGCAAAGTCTGCTGTGATTGGTTGTTGAATCAGTCTTGATCATATTTTCTCACGACCAATATTTGTGACATACACATTGACGTAAATAATTGTCTACTAATTTGGCTAGCAGCCTGCTCTCGCCACAACACTAACTGCTGATTCTTTAACCTGGTACACCTAACCTGATAGTCAGGTTGTTCTTAACATTGTCCCACCTAGTGACGGGAGAAGATAGTACTTACAGCTGTTCAAGGATGTTTCTCTTAACGCTAGTATAAAGGGAACATAGGACTTCAAGCCAAAAGCTCCAGTTCGTATGACTAAAATGGCTAAAGCTTTGGCACTGCTCAAGGGAAACGAATGCATACTGTCCCTAGTGTAAGCTGCTGTTCATTTTGTAGACTACTTTGAAGAAAGCTTTTGTTTAGATGGAATGAGTAGTGTTGACAAGGTGTTCGTTTATCGCACTGCTTCTAGTGAATTTATTTTTGTTTGTTAGCCTGTTTTTCGAACTCTTTATAACTGTTGTATTTCTGTAGAATTCTTACACAATCCCACATTTCCCTTCTCTTCTACGTGCATCCTGATCACAGCGCATTCATTAAATCATCCATCGTATTACGTAACACCAATGCAATCATTCAACTTGTCACAGGCATTGACTCTTCTTAGTTACTACGTTTGTGACAACTCGTCACCTTTGTTACTATCCTCTTTCATTGGAAAAAATGTATATGAATCCGATTGTGTCACTGAATAGGACGATGAATTCGCTGAAGAGAACCTCTTCGCTGAACTGCGTGTTTTGCATCCATTAACAATGGTAAACTTTTATGATATTAGATGGTTGGAGGCAGTCGGTAGGAAGCCTTGCTTGACGTAGGTTTCGTGTTAGTTGGCACTCACCAGTCAGCAAGGCGTATCTGCAACCAGCTTGAAGGAACTCATATCCTTTCTGAGATTCGAACTAGCCTCGCCTAGTGTTGCAGTCAGAGGCGGTACCACTGAGCTATTCAGGCTCGTGATTGACCTCCTGTAGTGCTGTAGTGGATATTTTGACTGGACACTTGTAACTAGTGTGATGTGTCTAGTCCTTTCTTTGGTGCAGACTGGACTATACGACTTCCATTCCTACAGGAGTTCAGTGGCGTGCCTGAATAGCTCAATGTTAACATCTTTGACTGTAGCACTGGGCGACGCGGGTTCAAATCTCAGAAGGGATATGACTTCCTTCAAGCTGGTTGCAGATGCGCCTTAGCTGACTGGTGGTGAGTGCCAACTAGCATGAAACCTAGGTGAGACGAGGCTTCCTACCGATTGCCTCCAACTATCTAACATCATGAAATCAATGTACACCATGATGGTGAGCTACCTAGAATGATGGCCACAATGCAAACTTGACTGACAGAATTCAGCCTTCACTGAAGAAAGGACCAGACACGTCACACTAGTTACTAGTGACCGATCAAAATGACATACTTTATTAGATTGAACACATAGTAATATATGTGCGTCGGTGGCACAGTGGTTAGGACTCTCGCCAACCATGCACATGGTCCGAGGTTCGATCCCCTGCCGACGCACACCCGATATCTATGGTCAGTCTGCAAAATTTGGGCTAGCGATATCTATGCTGAAAATTCCATACTTGTACGAAAAATACAGTGTGTAATCAAGCTACAATCAAAAAAATAAATAAATAAAATAAATTATAAAACCTCAGAAATCTAAGCTTTAAATTAACCAATCAAAATTTGTCCAACGTGGTTACCATGTCAAGGTACGCATAAATCATGAATTCACATGTAACACAGAAATCTTTTTGGTCCTCACGTATGTATTTGTTAGATTTTCAAACGTTTTTCTGAGGTGTAAACTATCAAAAGTATTCTATTGATTTTTTGTTTTAGAAAACTACGCATCCTGTCAGTTCACTTCCAAGAAATAAAGTTGTTGGTACACTGAATGATGGTTCCGAATCATATCTAATTAATGAACACTATCATACTGGTGAACAGAAAACTGATACAGTTTCAATGTCAGAGGATTATCTTGCACAAGGTGTTAGCAGTAATTATCTTTTCCCAACACCTCATGTATACAACGCTGCGTGTTATGATAATCGTCCACAGAATTGTGTTGGTTTGCCAACTGATATGAAAGCGACTTCATCAACAAGTCATGGTAAGTTCATATACTTCTTCGTTGAGTTATTTTCATCTTGTTTATGGTCTATTGAAGTAGAAAGCGTAGTAGAGTGTAGTTAAACAGATTGTCACTGCTGTAAGAAACTGGAGTTGAGATTTTGAATGACTGAAGCTTTTTCGTGTTCTTATTTGTTCTCTGAGTTGGACACTTCAGCTGCAAATGTTTTGCGTCATTCATCTAGAAACTGCCAACAGCACTTACTTTTCATACTGATGTTACCTCTGAAGGTATGGTTAAAGATGGATGGTGGCAGTTGTGTGATTCAAACATCCACCGGATGTACAAATCTTCTCTATGCTTAATCGCCGTTGCGTATCCTATTCTACATCCAGCCAAATGCTAAAATTTCCTTCCAACCCTTGTGTAAATTGGTGTTATTAGATGGTTGAAGGCAATCGGTAGGAAGATTTGGTTGACCTAGGGGTATCGTGTTTGTTGGCACTCCAGCTACTCGGGCCCAAATAGCTTAACTGGGAACATTTCTTGCTGTAGCACTGGATGACACAGGTTGGAATCTCAGAGGGGACATGAAGATTGCAGACATCTCTTGCTGACGAGTGTCAACAAGCATGAAACCTAGGTCCAAGGCTTCCTACCGACTGCCTCGAGCCATCTAATAACAACAGCTCTTAGTATACCGTGTTGGTGAGTCACTTAGCATGGTAGTCACGTTGCAAACTTGACTGATAGAATTCAGTCTACACGAAGCAAAGGACTAGACGTATTACAAATAGTTGCTTGCTGCCTAGTATCCAATCAAAATACCTTGTATGAATGATATACTGCTTTTATGTCGAGTCATTTATTTGGTGGGTGTATGTGATTCTGTTTTTCGAAGTTTATTCATAAGGTGGGTAATTGTTCACTTCAGTTGTGTCTGTTCAGTGGAGAATAGTTTCAATCACGAAATATGCCTGAATTATCGTGTACTGCGTCAGCCATTCAATCAGTCAGCACACTAATCAAGTTCGAATATTCCAACCGGCTTATTAAAGCTCACTGCATTTAGTAGAGTGTTTATGGTTGCATAGATTCCTTTTCCGTTCCTCAACTTATTTAGATTATGAGACTCAGGACCTATTGGTGACGTGGCTATTAGACATCGAATCTGGATTCAGTAATTTGTGAATTGTTTGGAGGATTTCATCATAAGCTGACATCAATTGGAGAACCACTGGAAAACCTGCAGGGAGTACTGGACAGCTGTTCCGCCCTATTTAGGGATTCTGCACCAGTACGCACCCACCGCCGGGGTTCAAACCCAGGACCTTCTGATTACAAGGCGAGCTAGCTCGTAGACCATTAAGCCACCGGGACACGATCCAGTGGCCGGTCTATGAATTCCAGCTTCTGCCAATTCACTACGTAGTGCGACCACTTTGCAGTATCTTCTTCGATGAGTTACTGCCCCACCTTCAACCTGCTGTACCCTACTGGTTACGGCTTCCCACTAGAACTCCAGGTTAACTGCCTGAATATGGCCAGTCGCTATTGAGCATCAGATTAATTTTCAAGTATTGGTTTTGTAGGGAATTTTATTTGATTGGTTGAAGGGTTTCGTTATCAGCTGACATTAGTTAGAGAACCATTGGAATTCCAACATCTATCAGTTAGCAGCATAGCTCCTTCACCAACTAGTATTATCGATTACTATCCACTTTGCCTGATATTGGGAACCACACTAGCTACGACTCTTCATTAAAACTTTAGAACATCTATCCAAGTTCCTAGGAAAATTCGTAATCTAAATATCAATATCTCAGTGCGTCAGTGACACAGAAGTAGAGTGCTCGCCGACCACGCAGTTGATCCAGGTTTCGATCCCCAACCACCAACGCACTCCTTCATCTCGCTAAGCCAGTAATAAGAGTGGTAAAGAGGAAAGGTTCAGCATGAGGCCAGTAACCCCATCCTGTAAAAATAAACACCACTGGTACAGAAACTTCAGGCCACTAGCTTGAGGCCCTATGTTCCATTGGGAATGTGAAGGTATATAAATAATTTTCTAATATCAATCTTCAGCTTCCTAGTTTTGATGATTTCGTAAGTAAAGTTAATTGGCGATTAAATTCACACACTGAAACTGATTTGTTGATACCAATTCAAATCGATTTCTATGTTGTGTCATGGTTTCACTTTTTGAATGTTTCAGTTTCAAATTTGTCATTTTCATTGTGAGATAGTGAATTAATTTGACTGTACATGAATATTTCTTAAGAGTTGTACTTCTACAGGTAGCATGCTCTTTTCTTAGTATGATAGTAAAATAACACTTCTGTTCATAGAATAATTCAGAATAATTCTCAAGGCGTAGTTTGTAGGGATTCGATTAATTTCACATTTGATCATGGATTGATGCGAGTCAGAGAACCATTAGAAAACCAGCAAGGAGTACTGGATACTCGTTACATTCTAGTTTGGGACCATTTTTCACCAGTATGCACCCAGTGGGGCTTGTACCTAAGACCTTCCGGTTACAAGGTTAGCTTATAAACCATTCAGCTAATGGAATCTGAACTAATCACCCACGAATTCTAACTTCTTCTAATTCATGACAAACACCTTCATTCTTAATCAAATGTGTTTTATATACCAACTTTACTGAAAGCGGAATACTCTCATATAACATGAAATAGTGAAATCAAACACTCGCTAACTTATTTACTTATTACTCAGTTATCAGTCTTAAAGTTATCTGACATACCGTATAGATACTATGAGAATTAGTAAATGAAACCTGTGCAATTGATTTTATATTACTGAAGATATATTCCATTGAAGCAATCAATGACAGACAACTCTCTCAAGTGTCAACACTTAAAATGTATGCAAGAGTAGAAATAAGTGAATGAGAAGAATGAAGGCGGCAAGTAATCTAAGAGAGGAATAAAATATTGATTAACGAACAAAGAATATTCAGATTTTTGATAACGAAAGAAAGAAATATTGTTATCAACACAACATCAGTGCTGTTTTAGATTACATTTAATCAATAGTTGGTGTCAGTAGATAACATTTCAAAAGCATCAGTAAGAGTGAGAGAGAGAGAGCGAGATGGATGAAAAGCATTAGTTCAACGCTAAACTGCTCAAATATCAGATAAACTGAAGGAAGTAATACAGAATTTGTACGTGATTTTGTAGGTTGAATAACAAGCCAGGGTAATAGTAGTGACTTGCTGAACTTGCTTCTTTTATACACAGAGTTTCAGTTGATTTAAGTGAATTCTAGTGGCCTGTGTTCTTCGTAGTGTTTAGTATCTAGAAGAAGCCCTTGGTAACTCACTACATTCCTGATAGATGATAGAGAAAGATTCTTCAATGTTATCTTTGCAGCCTATTTAAACGTGGTGGTCTAATAAAGAGTTATTGTATGGAAGATTTCACCATGAGCTGACAAAAGTTAGAGAACCACTGGAGACCAACCAGGGAGTACTGGACAGCTGTTTCGTCCTAGTTTGGGACTCTTCATCAGTACGCACCCACCACAGAGTAGTTCAAACCCACGACCTTCTGGTTACAAGGCTAGCGTGCTCGTAGACCATTGAGCCACTGGGACCAGATTCAATGGTTCTTGAATTCTAACATCTGCCAGTTCACGACATGGCGCGACCATTTCGCAATGTCTTCTTCGATGAGTTACTGCCTCATCTTTGACCTGCTGTACCCTACTGGTTACGGCTTACCACTAGAACCCCAGGTTAATTGCCTGAATAGGGCCAGTCGCTAGTGAGCATCAGATTAATTTTCAAGTATTGGTTTTGTAGGGATTGTGTTTGATTGTATGAGGGATTTCACCATGAGTTGACACCAGTTAGAGAACCACTGATACAACTGAACCAATACTTGAAAATTAATATAGAACTCTTGACAGTCTTAACAACATTTTAATTGAATTTTTGATTTTCCCGTCGATTGACTGGACCGAAGTGCTCAGGTTGACATGTCTGTTTGCTTCGTGTGCAGATGCTTCGACGATGTCTGGGCACTTAATTAGTATTTAATTGGTGGATGGTGACTAGCAGTGGAATCCAGGAAAATCAAAAATTCAATTAAATAATTAATATGACCCGTTGCACAAGAGGTGGCTGGCTCTCGTGGCCCAACTGGTCCAGTGGATAACGCTTTGGTGTTTGAAACTATGGCCGCTGGGTTCGAGCCTCATTGGTGGAAACATCATCACTGTCAGTGAGAAATGCAGGCACATCCAGTTGCTGGTGAGTCCCAAATAGGACGAAATTCGCGTTATCCTGGATTCCACTGCTAGTTAATCATCCACCAATTAAAGTCTTAGCAACAGTCTAATATAAATAATATTACAAAAACAAATATTTAAGAGTCGGCTAATCATAATCGTCTGTCAACATACTGAAAAATTCATTCGCAGTTCAGATTAATCTGAATTTCCACGTCGATTAATTATGTTGGAGAGAAATGCACGGTCTTCATTGACACGCTATCAGAACCTGGTAGTATGAGCACTTCGACGATGTCTGAGAATTAATATTGGGTTATTAAAGTCGACAGGGACTAAAAGTGATAGCTGTTGTGGCCCTCACAGCCTGGTGGTTAATGCTTGTTAATGCGTGTTTGAAATGATGAATGCACAGTTGTTCAGCCGTCATTAGGGACACCATCACTCACTAAATATACTACACCTTAACGTCTAGACGATGAGTCCCAAATAAGATGAATTGCTGGTTGGATTCCACTGCTAGTCACCAGCCAACAGGATGAACTTATTATCATCTAACAGTTGGAACTCTCATAGAATTCTTAGATGATGGGCATTCAAAATGTAAAAGACTGATTAGTGTGAACAAAGAATATTCAAATTTTCGATAAACTCTTCTTCATTAGGTTCTATATTTATATGAGCATAATAGCGAAAAAACAACAACATTGTTACTGACAACATCAGTGCTGTTTTAAATTATATTGAATCAATAATATGAACAGATTACAGTTTAAAAGAAGCATACGTAAGCGAAAATATGCAGTAATATAACATTAAGTGACTAAATATCCGATATATATTAATGGAAGTAACACAATGAATGTATGAATTTATAGGTTGGACAGTAGCAATAGTGGCTAACTAGACATGTTTCTTCTGCACACACACACAGCTCTATTTGATTTAGGCGAATTGCAATAGCCTCTGGTGATTACAGTGTTCGATATCCAAAAGAAGCCTTTGATATTTTATTCGATAACCGATGAATGATGGAGAAAGACTCTTCAATGATAGCTTTGTGGCCTGTTTGCATAAAGCGAATCAATATGAAACTACTGACTGTTTTAACAACGCCTTTGCTTAATCACACTCATATGTGTTCTCGAACACGAAGAGTTAGATAGGCTCCTTGAGCAGCGGCCAATATAACTGACTCCAAAGGAGAAGGAGAATTGATTCACGTAACATTTTTGTATCGGACCACCTCATGCAAACAAGCCATAAAGCTAGCAGCATTGAAGATTCTGTCTCTATCGTCTACCAGGTATAGAATAAATTGCGAAAGGCATCCAGATACAGGACACTGAAGACACCATTGCTGTTCGCTTATAATAGCTAGAGCTCTTTGTACAAAGTAAACACGTCCAGTCGGGACCTATTTCTCTCCTGGCCTCCTGTAGGGTCTATAAATTCACGAATTCTGCTTTGCTTTCTTTAGTTTATCTGATATTCAGTCAATTTAATGTTATATTAATGCGTATTATCCCTCTCTCATTGATGCTTTTGAAATATCATCTATCGATACCAACTACTGATTCAATGTAATTTAAAACAACGATAATGTTTCTAACAAAAAAATTTCTTTAATTGTTGCTGTCATAATAATGTAGTGCCTCATGAAGAAGAGGCTATCAAGTTGGATTTCGTCATCAACCTATCTTTGAGAAGAGCTTAGCACTAGACTAGACTGTAACCTACTTGTTGGCATAAGAAAGTTGGAGGCAATCGACGGGAAGCCTCGGACCTAGGTTGCATGGTAGTTGTCACTCGTCAGCAGGGCGTGTCTGCAACCTTGAAGGAAAATTTCCATTACAGTCCGACAGGTGGTCAATCGCGAGCCCGAATAGCTCAATGGTGACGGCTCTGACTACAGCACTGGGTGATGCGGGTTCGAATCCCAGGATGGGCTTGAGTTCCCTAAAACTAGTTGCAGACATGCCTTGCTGACGAGTGCTAACTAGCACGAAACCTAGGTCTATGGCTTCCCGCCGACTGCCTTTAACAGTGCACCGTGATGGCAGTCCACCTAGCATGGTGGCCACATTGACAACTTGACTGATGGAATCCAGCCTGCACTAATCGAAGGACTAGACGCATAAAACTAGTTACTGACTAGTTTACAATCGGATAAATGTAACATCTTTGTTGGAGCGTTTGTTCACCAGAAACATCCATGACCGCACTAAGGACCGAAGCTTACAGACTGTACTCCATCAACCCATGAATTCTAACTTCTGTTACTGTGTGACAAATCAGTACCACAATTTCTTTCTAATGGTACAGTTATCAAGTGCTTCTTCGTTCTCAGGAACTGTGAAACTTATTTTAATTACATGATGAAATCTGTACAACAAACATTATAAAAATAATTATTTTTCTGATAATTGTGTGACATTTCAACTTGAAATAATATCTTCCTTTCAATCTTTCTATATAAACCTTAAAAGATGCCTTATCAGTCGGATATCGGCCTTCATCGTCAATGGATCCAGCATTTGATGATGCAATTCATAAGCCTGGCAATGGAATCAACCCACTACAGAGTAGATCATTTGTTACTGATTGGAATACACGTCGGCAGATATCATCACAAAAGCTTGGATCTACACGTGATCGATTGCCAATGTTAGCTGAGAATTCAAATGCTCAGTTAAATACGGATAGATATCAAAATTATGCCAATTCAATTAATCGACAGGAGAGATTAGGTCATGATAGGAAATTATCCGTGAATCTGATTTCTTCTTCATCTTCATTTGTACAATCCAACACATGATGGCGATGGCGACGACGGTGATGACAGTGATGTCGGTCAAGTCAACATCCAGTGGCACTGAATTCATTTCTGTGTAAATTATAATAGTAAAAATCACCAATATGAACCTCTTGTCCGTAATGTTAACACTATTATTATTGCCACTGCTCCTAGGTTCATTGTAATCTGTTCAGTAAAAATGATACTTTCCACTTTGCATTCTACCTTTCTTTATCAATCCTACTTTTGCTTTACAACGAGTAGGTTTGAATTCCCGCTTTATATATATATATATATATATATATATATATATATATATATATATATATATATATATATTGATTTATTCGAAGTCTTGTTTCGCGGTCAGTTTAATTCAGTCAAAAGAAAGAGAAAACAAAAGCATTTCTTGTACAACTTTGTTTTTATTTGTTTTAATTATGATTATTATTATTATTATTATTGTGAAAGTTTGTTTTAATCGACGTCGTTTTTTGTTTTCCCCATTCAAAAGACAAAAGATTCTTTTGCTTTATGTTTTCTGTACAAAATTTGTTTTCAAAAAAATTAAAACAAAACCAAACCTCCGTGTATTTACGTGTTTTAATGCATAATTCTGCCTACGGTTTACTGCTTAATTGTGTATTCACTGACAAATTTGTCATCTTCATTCTTCTGAACTGTGTATATATAATAACGCTGATGTAATTCTATACAGAAAGCTGACGTCAGCACCATGTTTGTCCTCGTTTCAGCAGTTACTTTTGTCCACAAGAGAAAAGCGGGAAGAACGGAAAGTGAAAGTACAAGGTGAGCAGGGAGATGACAACTAGTTGTTCATTCGATATTGTTGGTCTTGTTCTGCTTATCCACATATATTGATCCATTTCTCTCTTTTCCTTACTTCTTTTGAACTAAGTGTGAATTTTCTAAAATTAGATAAATTTTATGTTCTAGATGTGATTTTGTTTTCATGAACACTAAGCCAAGATTATTAAGAATTTAAAAAAAATAAAAATAAATAGAAATATTAACAGACTTCTTGAAAAAAATATGTAAATTCTTATCTTATATTGGATAAGTAACAGTTGAAGTGTAAACACTAAAGTTTGGCTAGGTCAGAGGAGAATAAATTGTTCTGATTGGTTAACAATCGGTCCAAGGTTAAACAAGTTATCCAATAAGGTTATTACATGTTCACAATGTTGAACTCTGCAGCCATTGACTTAAAATATTGATTTCACAGTCCACATCACGCTACAGGAGAAGTGAGAACATTACCATGATGCTTTAAGTGTCAAATGCTAGTCTGCAAGAATTTCACTGGTTTGACTTCATTCATTTCAACACAGTTGACTGAAAACTAGTATAGGGTTTGTAAATATTCAGTTAATTTCACGAGTTTGTAGTTTGTTTTAATTTTCAAAACTTTTGTTGGTTGATCTCAAGTTGTAATGAAAAGTATTTCTCATTTGATCGAATTTTCGCGGGTATATGTATGTATATAAAATAGTTCGTAAGGTTGAAATGAATTCGTTACTCTTCAATTTACATATCAGTACTACAGAAAATGATCTGCAAGCATGGAGTTTTCTGGTGTCGTCTGATTTTGTTTAAATTATTACTGCCTTCTGGGATGAAAATAAGCTTTCGGGCTAGTTCTCCGGAGGTGGTTGGTTTCAATGTCATTTCTGCGACATTCCAGTTTTTACCGAAATTATTTCTATCATCCTGTCAGTGCTCAGTTTTGCTGATTATATATATATATATATATATATATATATATGAATAAAGCAAGAACAACAGCTTGTACAGAAAAAGATGGTGCCACCACTCATTCCATTGGTTTCTCATCAGCTGCATGCAGCCTGCAGAAATTATTTAAGCTGGTGTTCAGAACAATTTAAGACACTTCCAAATGCTGCATAATGTCACTTAGTGATAATACGCTGCAAACTTAATAAACAGCCCTCAGAATTTTCAGTTGCATAGCTTATACACAGAAACTTCAAGTTTAAATAAAAAGTAAATGCTTGAACAAGATATTGATGGGGTTGCGCAATAACGGCAGTTTATGGATAAGATGACTAGTAACGAATAAAATGAATATCAATATGGTTGGTTCAACTCAGATCATAGAAACAAGAGACATGCATAACTATACTATGTCAAAGGCGGGGGAGAGGTCAAAGCTGAAGATTACGTAATCAAATGAAACAGAGACAGAGTAAACACATCGTTACAATTGGCGTGGAAAGACTGGTAACTGCTTCTTTCTAAACACGTAAATTGACTTTCAGACGGCTAATAGCAGTTTCATTGGCAAACTTGAGGTGCACTGAACTACTTTGTCTATTGATAATTTGAAAGGATTCCGTGACTTCCACCTAGTGACCCGTATTGATGAAATGTCTGGCAACGCTACTATTGTAAACACTTGTTCTTTTTTGACACAGGCTTTTCGGTGAATGTTCAGAAAATTGATGGTGTAACCTTCTTTCCGTTTTCCCGATGTATTTGCTACCGCAGATACACGTAAATCTGTATACGCAGTTAGAGTTAACACGAGAAGGGTAACTGTCAACTTCTCGTTTATCGGACAACCTGCTCTCTGATACATTCGTAATCCCTATCTTATTCCTCATTCTAAGTAAAGCATAATCCCATACTTATTCCAGATTAATAAGGGTTTGTCTTGCCTTTCCGATCCCACTTTTGACATTTGTATCTACTCCACCTGTAGTTAAAGCAACGCTACCGAAAGAAATGAAACAAGTGACCTGATTCAAGTTCCTTCAATTGACGGTGATTATGCTAGTTGATGCTGTTGGTTGGTTGGTGTGCCCATTTGAAGCTTTGTCTTCGTCGATTCTTCCACCATCTTGATGGATTTTGTCTGTAGATCATCAAATATGTGCGACATTAAACATAAATCGTCCGTGAAGTATAAATCTTCTACAGTCTTCTTGTGGACCCTACGTATCCCCGTCTCCTTACCCACACCCCTCCAATGGTCAGCCCTATGATTCAGTCTTCCACAATCAGAAATACCATTGGTTATAGTAGGAGACAGCCTTGTCTTATTCCTACCTTGACTTCAGATGGTATCGACAGAATACATACCAAAACAGGTCACTATGAGTTATCCTTCGTTCAGTATGCTCTTTCTGACTGGTGTGTAAGCATACACACTTTTCAAATCACCTTAGTAATCCGATATGGCTTGAGATTATAATTTGCACTGTCCATAGGATTTGGCAAAGACCCTCAGATACATGGTTGGAGCTGTTTTTTCAGAAGACCGAAGGCGAACTTAAGGTTTTATGCAACAAGTTAATTGAAAACAGTTCCCTTGAAACGTTCATCACTAAGCACGTGGGCAAGAAAGAAGCCTCTATACATGTGCGACCACAATTCAAAAGTGATTCACCAAACTAATTAATAACCAAAAAGTTGATAAAATCGATTCAAAGAACGTTTAATACCAGTAAGCGGTTGTGATTCCAAAGCTGAAAGACAAAGTACCTAGAGTAGCTATCTCTTATTGTAACTATCAATTCAATTTCTCCTTTGGAGCCATTTATATTGGTCTACCTAATTCTTCATGCTCTGGAACAGCTACCAGTATCGTTAAATACAGGTGTTGTTGAAACCGTTAACAGTTTTATACTGGATCACCTCGTACAAACAGGCTACACAGCTATCATTTATCGGGTATCAAATAAATTACCATTGACCTCTGGATACCAAACATTCCAAACACCAGAGGCTATTGCAGATGGACTAAAACAATTGGAGGTCTGTGTGCAAAAGAAACACGTCCAGTCAGCTAGTATTACTACTCTAGCCTACTGTCAAGACCTATAAATTCATAAATTCTATATTCCCCCACCCCTTAATTTATCTGATATTCAATCAGTTCAGTATTATATTGATACGTAGAGATGCCTTTCAACTATAATCTACTCATCCTACTAATTCAGTGTTATTTAAAACTTTAGTGTTGATATAATAACAATAATTCTCTAGTCATTATAGTCATTTAACTGTAGAACACCTCATGAATATTCCCTGTTCACTAAACTCAATCTTTTACAGCTATTTATATTCACAAATAACCGACCAATCAAATTCAAGCTATGCTCACGTGATATACGATCGATAGAAATATATATCAATCGAACAGAGTTATTTATCATCTAGTCGAATAAATCTTATTGGTCAGTGTGTGCAAAAGGCGGTTGACCTATTTAATCTGCTTCTTACTAATTATGTTTTAACACTGTGATAATATATCTCCAGGTTTTTTACAAAAAAATAAACAATTAAACATGGTGTTTACAGTGAATACACCATTCCATGGAGTAGGAAATACTCTAAGTCAATCTGAAGCAATGAATCCATTATCAACATCAAATTTAACTGAAATAAGTAAATATAATACAAAAATTAATTATCCAACACGTAAATATTTTCTTCAGTATATTGATGAATTTAATAAAAATCAAATAAATCAAACAGTACCAAGGTTGACTACACGTGAAACACCAAATTATTTAAAAATTAATAAATCACAAGATAATAATCCTTTCTCATTTATTAAACACGAGCGTATTGATCAGCTTAGGAATCGTGAACAAAAGCAGAGAAATGAAGAGAAAGAAAGATTCGCTAGTGGGAAACCACTGAATGAAAAATTACCATTTGGTGTTAGACAAAGATATACAGCAGCACAAAATATGCGTGATTTAATTTATGAAGAAAATTTGCATGAATTTAACACTTATGGTGAATTATATGGTCCAAAGAATTTGACAGCACGTCAAACTATTCCTAGTGTACATCCTCAAAAATATCAAGAAAAATCAATTAAAAATTTAAATTTAGGTCCAATTATTATTAAAGATAAAGCAAATGGTACAATCCAATCTAAAATTATTACAGATAATGATGTTTTAAACACACGACCTGATACACTGCATGATTTTGTTCAAGATCGAAGAAAAGTTTGTTTGTTAGAATTAATGAATCGTGTAAAAGGCGGTGAAATTGAACGTTTAGATAAAATAATGAAAGCAGAATGTGATTTTCTCAAAAAAGAAGAACAAGATTTATTATATCGTCATGAAGAACATGATAGGTATTTAAAATCAATATGTCAAAGAACAGCTGAAGCTATACGATTAGCTGAAGGTGAAGCACATAAAAAAACTGAAATTAGTGATCGTATACGTCATGCACGTTATAAACTAGCTCATTTAAATGCAGAGTGTATTAAATTAGAAGAAGAATATCTACGTTTGTGTAGATATCGAGATTTTCTTGATAATGTTGCTAGAACATTTAAAGAGCATTATATTGATAAGGTAACAACACTTATTCAAGATTCTAGTGAATCTTCAAATGAATCTGAGATGAAAAAAAAGCAGAGAAAAGCTCAAGATTCAAATGAAAATGCTAAAATATTTGATGCAAGATCTACAACACCGATGAATACAACGCCGACAATGACTACAACAAGCAATATATCACTGGAGGCAACTCAAGCGGTAACTGCCTCATCTTCATCAATAAGTGAGAAAACAAAAGTCGACATGTCTACTACACAAGAGGATAATAGACTGTGCGAAAATATATTCGTTGATATATTTACTAGTCCTAAAGATTTAGTCAATATTCTATCTGAATTAGAAAGTACCAATTTAACATTGATTGAAAATGTTCAAGAACAAGAAGAAGCCTGTGAACGTATACGTAATAAAACAAAAAAGTTGGAGAAAATTTTAACTAAAGAAAAACTTCTTGTCGATGATCATATTGAACGTGAAAAAAAGAATATACAAATAATACAAGAAAATGCTAAACAAATCATTAATTCAAGAAATGCGCTAAATGACCACTTTCTATTGGACAAGTATATTAATGTATTTTATTTAGGCAGTATTGAACAATTCCAGGATATTGAATTTCGTCAAGCAATGTTAACAAGTAAATCAAGTGGTACTAATGTGAAAGATAATCAAACATTATCTAATGTATTACGTGATAAACAAGATACTAAACCAAATATTATGTTTCTTTTAAATATATTACAATCAGAAGTACAAAAAATTTATATATCTGTTTATGGTAATAATGAAGGCGGAGCAAAACTGGACACTTTAGTTATGCTACGTCGGCTGGAGACAACTATTGATGAACTTAGTGAAATGTTAAATATGTATCCAAGAGATGTTATCTCAAAGGCTAGACGTGCTGTTGAAGAGTATACACGATTTATTGCACGTCGACGTCAGAAAGAAGAATTACAAGCTGCTTATCAACGTCGAGTTGAAAAAGCTATGGCAAAAGCTAGAGAAAAACCACGTTGGAGATTTGGTCGAAGAATAATGCATCGATCAAAGCCTAAAGATATTGTGCATAAAATTGATACAAACGTGGAGTCAGTTACTACTGAAGATGAAGATAGAAGTTTATTTCAATGAGAATAGTAATAGTAATAATAATGATAATAATAATCAAAAGATAATCTCATTTTGAATTCTAATGGAACTTAATTCTTTGAATATACAGAATGATGATACATTCATTTTCTCTGTAAAACTTATGATTTCATACATTTATTCCCCTTAATGAGTTTGAACAAAGCAAGAACTACAGTTTTAGCGGAATAAAATGGTACCATCTTTTATTTCGTCGCCTTCTCATCAGCTGCTTACAGCGCACAGACACTATTAAATGTATCTACAACAACAATTTTGACATACTTGCACAGAGTTCATTTCATACAAAAATCATATACTAAAATATATATATATATATATATATATATATATATATGCAATATTAAACACTACTCCGAACAATAATAATCATACACAATGGAAACTTTCAGCATTTCGCACTCGGAAGAAAGAGAGGTGAAAATATCCAGTTACCAGGGCAAACAAAGACTGATAACCGCTTCTTTCTGGACGCATAAATCAGGTTTCAGGCGCTTGATGGAAATGGCTTCAGCAAACTTAAGGAGAATTGAGCTCTTTTGCCTATTGATAATTTTGAACGACTTTTCGATGTCCACCTCATGACCCGTGTCGAGGAGATGCCTGGCGATGGTACTGTTTAAAGCATTTGTTCCTTTTAGACGTAAGCTTTTTGGTACATATTCAGAAAATCGTAGATATGCCCTTCTTTCTGTCCTTCCAATGTAACTACTCCTGCAGATACATTTAAATTTGTATATACAGTTGTAGTTAACATGAGAAGTATATCTATCGATTTTCGATTGCAACAAAGAGCAAGTTGTTCGATAGATGGGAACGAGTTTAGCTGCACGATAGGCAGTGCCATCGCCAAGCATCTCCTCGACACGGGTCATGAGGTGGACATCGAAAAGTCTTTCAAAATTATCAATAGGCAAAAGAGCTCAATTCTCCTTAAGTTTGCTGAAGCCATTTCCATCAAGCGCCTGAAACCTGATTTATGCGTCCAGAAAGAAGCGGTTATCAGTCTTTGTTTGCCCTGGTAACTGGATATTTTCACCTCTCTTTCTTCCGAGTGCGAAATGCTGAAAGTTTCCATTGTGTATGATTATTATTGTTCGGAGTAGTGTTTAATATTGCATATATATATATATATATATATATATATATATATATATATATATATATATATATATATATATATATATATATATATTTAGTATATGATTTTTGTATGAAATGAACTCTGTGCAAGTATGTCAAAATTGTTGTTGTAGATACATTTAATAGTGTCTGTGCGCTGTAAGCAGCTGATGAGAAGGCGACGAAATAAAAGATGGTACCATTTTATTCCGCTAAAACTGTAGTTCTTGCTTTGTTCAAACTTATGATTAAGAACAGGATTGGTTACGAGGTGACATCATTTAGAGAATCATTAAAAAACCTGGTTTAGAACTCTTCACAATGCGCACCCATCACTAAGGTTCGAACTCCACTCAACCGGAAATAGGACAACAGGAAATATGTTCCACTATTTGAGGCACTCTTACTGCTGAAACATGTGAGTCGGCTTTTGAAAATGGAAATGTGACACGAAAGTGTTTTCATTCATACTCTCATGATAGTCCCATTAAGGGACTTTAGAAAATGAGAAAATGACAAGTCAAAGTACTGTTTTACAACAGCCCAAACTGTTGAATGTAGCTTTCTCAAGCACCTGATTGATAGGTACTACCTTGAATTGTTGGTCAGGCTAGCATAATGCGACGAACGAACGAACGACCTATGCCAGTTAGAATTAATGTTCGAATAGCTCGAATAGCTGAGTGGCAACGTCTCTGACTGCAGTACTGGGTTACACGAGTTAAAATCTCAGAATAGACATGAGTTCCCTCAAGGTTGCAGATATGTCTTGCTGACAACTGTCAACAAGCACTAAACCTAGGTCTAAGGCTTCCTAACGACTGTCTTCAACCACTTAATGGCCTAGGATCAGGTTGGAAAAGAGCTAGGAATGACCAAATCATAAATGTCATAAATTCCATTTTGTACTATCGTCACGTCTTCAGTGAAGCCAATGCTTCCGTAAATAATAATGGTTCGCCTAGTATTAGACTATAGGCGTAATGATGCTTTGAAACAAACCGATAGATGATTCTGCATTTTAGGTTAATCTCACCCATGTATTAGTCTGTCCTTTTCCAGTGGAACATTGGTTGTTAACACGGTTAATAGACATTTTCATAATATTTCATCTTGGAGGGGGATTTGTCTTTACTTTAGTAATTAGAGAGTCATTGAAAAGCCAGGAAGCATTGAACAGCTATTTTGTCCCAGTTTGTGAATCTTCAGCTCAGCGTACTTGTGATCTGCCACCAGGGAGCGTTCAAACAAAGGATCTTCAGGTCAGAATTCAATTCCGTACGATGTTTTAAAGCAGAAGGTTATTAAGATTGCTTCATTATCAGACCGGAAAGCTATTGATCAGCTGCTCAGCAATGTTAGTCTGGGTGATAGAACACCTTACCAACTCAAAAGCCATACGTGTAACATTTTAGGATATCGGAAGGTAGACAACAGGTTTTTCTATCAATTGTGGCTAAGGCGGTTACCCCACAACATTCAGCAGGTGTTAGCGTTTGGAGATGAAGACATAAATATTGACAAGTTAGCAGAAATTGCTGACATAATGTATGAACGGATGTGCCCACAAGTAACATCTGTACTCGACAAAACGTCAGACGAACGCATAGAAGCCTTAGAACGTAAAATAGACGTTCTGACCGGAAATTAATGACAATGAGGTTTAATAGACAACCTGTCACATCATACAGAAGACAACGTAGTCGCTCATGCAACGTACGCAAACATAGCTTTCAACAGACTTTATGCTGGTATCATCGAAAATTTGGTGTACACGCTAAACGGTGCACGCAACCATGTGCTTTTCAATCGGTGACGACCGCGGTCGCTGTCCAGCACCCGTCCCATAGTCGTCCTTTAGGATGACAGATAAAATAACGGAGGCACAATTCCTGGTAGATACCGGTGCAGAAGTTAGTGTAGTTCCCTCAACACCCAGAAAACGTTTACAGCCAAATCCCGCATTAGTGCTTAAGGCTGCGAACAATTCTACTATAAAAAGTTTTGGAACTCAAAGATAAAAACTTAATTTTGGTTGCAGTACACCACTTGAGTCTGTCTGTCCGTCTGTTTTCGACATAGAACTTTGCACATATATGCGGCAGTTGAAGTCGCCACACTCCATGTAGCACACAAAGCAAGAGAACATAAGCATAATAAAGACATCCCGCATCCATATAAATACCCTGTAAAAAGATCAGTTTGACCTTAGAAAGATGGCTAGACTGCAAACTATGGACGAGGATCTGAAAAAAACTAAAACATAGCACTAGTACTCCCTTACATTTTCAAGATTTTATGCGTGATGAAAGCCTAACTATTACGTGTGATGTCTCCAAAGGTAAACGACGTCCTTTTGTCTCATTAGAAATGCGAAGATCATTTTTCTCCAAAATACATGGCATTTCTCACCCTGGTATCCGAGCGACAGTTAAACTGATAAGTGACCGATATATATGGCAGAATATGAATCGCGAGGTTAAACAGTGGACCAGAGCATGTCTAGCTTGCCAAAAGTCAAAAGTACTACGACATACAATCTCACCTAATGGCCAGTTCCCAGAACTCGATGGTAGGTTCCAACACTTACACATTGACATCGTTGAACCGTTACACCATCTAATGGCTTTACTTATATCCTAACGTATATTGACAGATTGACGAGACGGCCAGTAGCTAGTCCCTTACCTGATATACGTACTACTGCTTATCATCCCAGTTCAAACAGCTTAGTGGGGAGATTTCGTCGTCAACTGAAAGCAGCATTGATGGCAGTGAAGGATTATGATAATTGCAGTGACAAATTACCACTTGTACTTCTTGGAATACGCTCAACAATAAAACAAGATATCGAATGTTGTCCAGCAGAATTAGTTTATGGAACTACTTTACGATTGCCTGGAGAATATTTCAACCCAGCAACTGAAGTTCCAGCTGACGAAACTACTTTTGCACAACAACTGAGACAACATGTGAGCCTTTTAAGATATCATCCCCCGCGACATCAGCTCAACCAAGCATACATGCCTCAAAAACTAGACGATTGTACTGATGTCTTCATACGACACGACAGTGTAAGGAAACCACTTCAACCACCCTATGATGAACCATTTGAAGTAATAAGAAGAAAAAACTAAATCACCACTGTCGAACGTGGAGGGAAACACGAGAATGTAAGCATTGATCGTGTAAAATCAGATTTCATGGAAATAGAGGTGACTGAATGTTTACCCATGCCATCAACATCATCTAAAGTTACAGCACAAAATGATTCCTGCTCTCAAGATCCACAACCTAGTGATATTCCGGCTAACAAAACAAAAAGAATCACAAGATCAGGCAGGCGAGTACATTGGCCACAAAGATTTGTCCAGACAATTTATTTCTAAGTCATTTCCATATTTCCTTATTACTGTGCTATTAATTGTAAGATATAAATGTATACTGTAACTCTTTAGAATAACAACCTCATTATTATTCTAATAATTTTTCTGGTTTTATTTCTAAATATTTTGGTTCGTTTCAAAGTTGTTAGCATTTTCGAATATATGCAGTTATATTAGCAAACCTCAGAATACTTAAAATCCTCATTTCGGTTTTCATACCAGAAATTCTTACATATTTTTCCTGTCCTTTCAAATTACAATAACATTCCGAATACAGCTAAACTTTATTTAGCTGTATTCTACGGAGGGGCTATTATAGTGACCCATTTTATTACTCATCTTTGTGCGTCGGTGGCACAGTGGTTAGGACTCTCGCCGACCATGCAAGTGGTCCGAGGTTCGAGCCCTCGCCGACGCACACCTGATATCTATGGTCGGCCTACAAAATTTGGGCTACCGATATCCACGCTGAAA